GAAGCAAAAATCTGAAGAGTGGATGCACCTGTCGCCTATTTATACCCGTATGCACAGGGAGTGGCTCAGGTATGCAAAATCCACTAGCCAATTTTCATTGGCGTTTTCTCTTAAACTCAGAGATGATTGGCCTCCCAAGTGAGACCCCATATGTCGTTCGACATAATGTCTCCGTTCCCTCCATCAGGGAACGAGGGTTACGTACGTAACCGAGACATTACCCGATTCATTCTGTGTCATTCATTAGTGCCATCCAACACAACAGCCAGCATGCGGGAGACTTCCAAAAGCTCAAAAGGGCCTTTGGTAAAATACACTGATTCATCTTTGGGAGCTGAGCAACATTCAACAGTCCCTCATGTGTGTGAGTAAACTAACAGATGTATGGGAAGACAAAGTATGAACAGTATTTTCTCATAAAATGGTGATCTTTAGAATGTCTTCGATACAAATGTGGCCCTGAACGTTAATTTTCAGCTAATTATTTAAATTAATTCTTAATGTTATAATGTATCTGTGCAACAAACAAAAAGGGTGGCCCACTATAAATACAACTGTAAAATTTATTCATTTAGATTTCTCTTATATTCCAAGATGGAACTTATGGTAAATCACAGCATTACAGGCTATTGCCATTGTACTGAATTTACCACTTCATCCAATAAGGAGATGTGTTGCTGTCTTGTGCCAGGATGTTTTTCAATAGTTTATACATTAGCTGTTCTGAAATAATTTATGACTGGATGTCAAGCATTTCCCCCAATGTTAATTACACTAAAAGTAATCAAATGTTTTAGTTTCTAGTGTCAGGATGAGCCTAAAGGGTGAATCTCACAAAAACCGAAATTTTTAAGTCATATTTTGCCTTTATTTAACCTCTTTGCATATTTTTTTCATTGTGACATACTTTCATTATCCTAAATTCTCATATATATAAATATAAATATATGTATATATATATATACACAGAGAGAGAGAGAGAGAGATTCATTGTCGTTACTTAGCATTCTTTTGATTTTGGGGTAAAATATGATTTGGATATTTCTCGATGAGATTCACCTAAAGATTTTTCAAAAGAGCCTAAAGATTGTCATCAAGATGAGTTTAGAGTCGCTTTGTGAATGTGTTATGTGAATAGAAGATGTTCTGTACTGAATTTTACTTCATTTAGTAACAGTTTAAAGTGACAAAACATTTACAAGTAACTAGTGTTTATCAATAAGACGGACATACATGAAATACTTGGTAAAAATCTTCAGTTGCACTTTACTTTACAGTCCTGTTCACCATGTATGTACTATGCACTTATTATAATTAACTACTGTAGGTACTAACCCTAAACCTTAACTGAACTCATATTAACCCCAAGTAGTTACCTTATATTATTCAGAACTTTCTTGTTTAAGTACACAGTACACTGCAAGTATACTACTGCAAAATAAAGTGCAACCAAATGTTAGTTTCTGAGTTTGACACCCTTCATATCTAGTGTTTTCAAATGTAAGTGAATCAATAGATGAGCAATGATTCTGCTGACTGCTATGACATTACAAAAATAAAAGAAAGGCATTTTAAACCGTTCGAAACTACACTTTCCCAAAGTAAAATTTGGGAAGATATTCTGCTAAAAACACATGAAGCACACTTTGCTGGGAGGTGAGATTTAAGTGAGTTTGTGTGTACGATTTGTGCACACAGCGACAATGTAAACAAATGTTAAAAAAGAAAAGAAAAACAAGGCTTTGTTTATCAGTTTTAAAGGTCATTTGCACTGATAGTGATTTGCAGTGACAAAGTTCATTTACATTCATTTTCAATGAAAGTTTGCACAAAGTTTAACTTTATAACTGACCTGAATAAAAAACAGTATTTTTTTTTCCAGCTGACCACTAGCATAAATTAAATTTGAGAGCTGCGAAGGTCAAGATCGAATATAGTGCACAAGTGCCTAAAATTGCTCAAACTCTGATTAAAAATTAATACATTTCCTTTCAATTTGTTTCTGCAAAACACTATAGGTGTGAACACACCTTATAATGCAATTACTGCAAAATTGCATTTTATATTAATCAGTATTTTTGTCTTGTTTTCCAGTATAAAATATCAAAATTTTGTTTAAAGCTAAATGGAATTGAAAAGCAAAATACTTTGTTTCAGATAAATATATCTTAAATTAAGATTTTCATTTGTTTTACCTAACAAATGAACAAATTGTGGTCAATTTTCTTTTGAGCAAAAATACTTATTAATACCGATTTTTCTTGCAGTGTTTAAAGTGTTAAAGACCATCCTGTGTGATCGGCTTCATTTTACAAACCTCTTCCAGGATAAAACCAGACATGAAATCTGAATCACTGAGAGACGAGTAGAAAACACAAGTCTGTACACTGATCAGTGTGCTCATCTTTAAAAAGCCAAAAAGGTCACAGTCGCATGACGAGAAGCCGTCTGCATCCCTCAGGTTGGAAAAGTCTTTGAGATGTTAACCAGTAAACCAGACAGGAAACACTGGTCTCATCTTTTTCCAAATGAGAAATCCTCCAGAAGGATAAAGGGTGAGTTACGTCTCAGGGTTGGCTGTGGTCATGATCTTCATGTACTGGGTAAAGATCGTCTCAAAGGCCTCGTCTCTGTGTATCATGGCACCAAAGACAAGTGGCTGTGAGAACAAGATAAAGTGATTCACTGTCAGACTTTACTCAGTCATTAATCAAAGCAATAAGACAGAGGGTGATGTCACTGTAAAAAGACACCAAATGGATTTGAACTTTAACTTTATCAGCATATGTACAGTACACTCATGGTGCGATGTAAAATATAGTATATCTAAAATGCTTGATTGCTTACATAATCACAAAACGTGAATTATATGATCTTCCAGCTCTAATCTGCTAAATGCCACTATAAGGCATGAAGATCTTAAGATATCATAAACATTATCATCATGATTTTTTGTAAAGCTGCTTTGAAACAATGTGTATTGTGAAAAGTGCTATACAAATCAATCTGACTTGACTTGACTACCTTCTGTGTTGACGGGGTGGCAACAGAAATGCCCATTCCAGACCCAGGCAGAACTGATAAAACTTTGTACTGTGGAAAAAGAAATTCAAGAGTTATTGTAATTATTATACAGTTTTTGTTTAATTATTGTATAACTGTAACAGTAGCATAAAAAAAAACTTTTTTCAATACCTATTTAACATGATATATTACATATTATGGTAACAAAATGCCGTAACATGGGGAAAAAAAAGCATTTGAATACAATATAGATTTGTCAATTTGGATCAACTTCGCCATCATGGAAATTGTGGAACACCAGCCATTCAGATTGGAGTTTGACATTGTTCTCTCATCAAAGTTCTTTAATCATTTAATCACCCTCGAGTTGTTCCAAACCTGTAGTTTCTTTCTTCTGTTGAAAACAGAAGATATTTTGAAAAATGTTGGAAACCAACAGAAATGGCATAGTATGAAAGTCAATGGCTACTGTGAACTGTTTGGATACCAACATTCTTCAAAATATCTTCTTTTGTGTTCAACGGAAGAAAGACACTCATAGTTTGGAACAACTTGAGTGTGAGTAAATGATAATTGCATTTTTGGTGAACTGTCCATTTAATGCTGGAACATACTACACAACTTTTGCCCAGATTTTTGGCTGGTTTTCAGTCTGGACACAGACAATCTGCAGTTTTTGTTGTTCCAAACTGCAAATCTGAACAAAAGGCATCCAGTGTATTCCGGCTATAAAGGATGAGAATTTATAATTGCAAAAACAATATGAATATTTGCAAATCAATTTGATCATATTTATAGCTGTGTTATAATTGTATAAAATGATAACGAGCCTTCCTGTAGCACAAAAAGTAGAGTATGGTGCTAGCAACACCTAGGTCATGAGTTTGATTCCCAGGGAAAGCAACAACTAATCAAATGTGAATTATTATTGTATAAAAAACATCTGCCAAATTCAGAATGTAAAACATAAAGGTATAATTTAGAAACTCCAAAAATGTATGAATATTTAATCAAAATGTCCTTTTTATGTGAGGTACATGCTGCAGTCCGTGATGCAATGCTGCCACCTACTGAAAAGGCATAGTGCTCATATCCAATAAGTGAGTGAAGGATAAATGGTCAAAGGTCTATAAAGTTAAGAAAAATTGAAAAAAGCTACTGCTTTTTCTGAACAAGAACACTTGGCCACTAGACATCATGTGGCTGTCTGAACAACATCTAGAACAAGAATATTTGTGCCTAGGAAAAGGAAAGTCTGAAGTGGTCTCTACATGTGTGTGTGTGTATGATGATTAGGCAAAGGATTTTATTTATTTGTTTATAATAAATATTATATTTATTAATGTTTTGAATTCGTTTTTATTTCTATCATTTGTTAAGTTTTTAATTTAAATATATACTGTATATATATATATATATATATGAACAAAAACTAATCAAAATAAAATAAAATAAAAACTATAATAATATCTCAATGATACTAAAATAGCACTGGTGGAAACTACTCCATTTTTTGAGCAAAGCGATCCTTTATGTCTTGAATGACACTATCTATGCACACACAGAGCATACCCATCACACAGTCCGTGAAAATGGATTCAAAATGTCACAATAGCAGTAAACATTCAATTGAATTAGATTGTATTAAGTCATTAATATTAAAGTGCCCCAATTATGGATTTTTGAAAATTACCTTTCATGCAGAGTGTAACACAGCTCTAAGTGAATGAAAAAATCCTGCAAAATTTTAAATCTGAAAGTGCACCGTGTAAAAAGTTATTGTCTCTCAAAAGAAAGAGTCGACTCTGAATCACTGAAACGAGTCGTTTTTAAACAATTCCCAAGCCGTTTCATGTTGACGGTCTATAAAGTTAAGAAAAATTGAAAAAAGCTACTGCTTTTTCTGAACAAGAACACTTGGCCACTAGACATCATGTGGCTGTCTGAACAACATCTAGAACAAGAATATTTGTGCCTAGGAAAAGGAAAGTCTGAAGTGGTCTCTACATGTGTGTGTGTGTATGATGATTAGGCAAAGGATTTTATTTATTTGTTTATAATAAATATTATATTTATTAATGTTTTGAATTCGTTTTTATTTCTATCATTTGTTAAGTTTTTAATTTAAAGTGTTAGTAAATGTATGTGCTTTTGAAATTTTTATTAGGTTTTTTTTTTTTTTTCTGTTTAGCTTTATTTCAAGTGTAAGTTTAGACTTTCAGTTTTATTTCAATTACCGAAAATGATTTTTAGTCGTTTTTAATTTTAGTTGAAAATAGCAGCACTGTACATACCTTCTGGATATCTGTGATGTCCACCAGTTTGATGACTTTGTTCTTCTTTGAAGACCCTGATCTTGAACTGGAGCTCTCAAAACACAGGTAGCTGTTGGATGGACAACCAGTTGTGATTATACTGCTACTTCAAATGTTGATGTACAAAAATGTGCACAATTATTCATAATAGCATGAAAGAGAGTGAAAAGAGTTGCCAGCTTAAAGAGCAAATGTTTCTTACTTCTCAGTGACATAGAGCATCCCATTGCGAATGTAGTCAGTCGGCATCTTCCTGTCTCTGTAAAATATGAAATGTCATTACCCATAATAGGGGCACTTTAAATATAATTAGCAGATCAGTCAATTAATGACATTAATATGATTTTTTAAACAAAATGTGAAAAAAATTTAATATAATAATAAGGTGAATTACACAAAATCTGTCAAGAAATGTCCATCTGATATTTCACCACATAATAACAAAGAAAATTGTATTTTGTATTAATAAAATAAAGACTTTACATTAAATTCATTCATATTTGCATTGTGACATCATTTTTTATGACAATAAAGCAGAACCCTAACACACAATCTCATTACCATAATGCAAAAAATCTTATTACTGTAATGCATAAGATTATATAATTTTTGAATTGTAAAATAATTTAGTAAATGTAAAATAAATCAATATTCCTATTAGAGAAATTATAGCATAGTACATGACTTTTTGTATTACAGTAATGTGAATTTGGATAGGAAATATGCTTAATTGTAAGCATATAGGGGAAAAAAACCTGAATGGTTAAAAAAAAAATGTATATTTATTTTTATCTTTTGATTTTGTGGTGATATGCAACCTGGACATTTCTTTGGTGGATTCACCCAATTTTCACCCAATTTTCACCCATTTGAGCACAGACAAAATTCATATCACACTGTGCGTCTAGATCCAAACACACAAAGGTAAAGAAAGTAAGGTCAGCTGGTTTCATCACACACACACACACACACACACACACACACACACACTTTTCATAAGTACTGCAGTGTCATATGAAACATATTTCAGATAGGTGCTGTCATTCTCAATTTCACATTTATGCTTATTTTTTGTTCTAGTCTCTTGAAGGAATAGAGAAAATATTCTATTTTTCTTTTTGAAAAGTCAAAATGAAAATTCTGTAATCATTTACTCAGTCGTGCTTTTTTTCTGTGAAAGAGCATCCCATTGCGAATGTAGTCAGTCGGCATCTTCCTGTCTCTGTTTATCAGACAGCATCTCCATCCATTCTCACATACTGCAAGAGAAGACGCCGTTAAAAAAAAGTGAAAAGAGAAGCGAGTAAAAATCTGTTTGGTGTGTCCAACTTAAAAGTCTGTTTCCTTTTTTCCATTAAGTACTGTTTTCTTTCGGTATGCAAGGCCTCATGAGACAAGAAGCAAGTCTAAGAGATGTCTCACCGGGCAGAGGTCTCTCAACCTCAGGTAGGTTGAAGATCTCATGGAATGCTCCTTTCTTTGTGCTGTGTGCACGGCCACTCTCTTCTTCTCGGGTCACTCCGGCCGGGATGGTGGCTAAAGTACTTCGTGATACAACCGGCTGGATCTAAACATAAAAAAAGAGGGATTTCAATAGTTTGTATTAACTAACCCTCTCAGCCGTAACATTAAAGTCAACATAAAACTACATTCCCATTTTACTTCCATTCGGTGATGTATTTCTGGGTGAAACAGGATGTTCGTGAAATATGATACATATATATTTTCTATTAATGTGGCCTTGGTGATGTCATCCAGAAGATGTCAACATAATGCAGTTAGATTTTTAGTATGTTTGAGCATTCATGTGAGTAAGTTTTTTTTTTTTTTTTGTCAGTGTAATGATGTTTTAAGAGAAGGGCAACCGCCATTGATCTCATACTCAAGGGCATGTAGTATTCACTCTGTACAGTCTCTCAACACAGTCCAACTACTTTCTTTCAGTGTTCTAAAGCCAAACATTCAACTATTTCTACATCTAATGATCTAATACTGCTCTACTGTGGAAACCAGGATTAAACTAAAACTACAAAAAAAATGTTGTTAATAAAACTAAATAAATAATAAGACAAAAACTGAAATAAAAAAAATATCAAAAACTATATATATATATATATATATATCACCCAATTTTCACCCAATTTTCACCCATTTGAGCACAGACAAAATTCATATCACACTGTGCATCTAGATTCAAACACACAAGGTGAAGAAAGGTCTCATCACACACACACACATACACAGGTGCTGGCAGAAGCACATCACAATCCCTACCTTCTCACACCCAGACAGCTGAGAGAGAAAGACAACAGATTATGTGTGACTGTCATGTCAACTACCTACACTGATGTTTCCCCTACGAGGCAACACCCATGACTCTCATACACACACATATACAGTGCCTGACACTTTGAAACAAACGGTTCAAATAGGTATGACATTTAAAGTGTGAAAACAGCCAGGAGGCTGGTGTTAAAGCCTGACATTGTCTCTTTCTCTCTCACCCGTCGTGACACAGTGGCATTGCTGCGTTCTTTCAGCTGAGGGTCGGTGGGCAGGCTGTTCCACATGATGTACGGAGTGTCGTATTTGTCTCGGAGTTTTGGGCAGCTCTTAAACAGGAAGTCTATAATAAAGAACTTGATGCCCGCGTAAAGCCCTGCCAGAGAAAAGACGCACACCATGAGAATGATAAAATAACTACAACTTTAGACAACACAAAACAACTTTTTAGATGTGTTCCATCATATTTAATAGTTTAACTTTCATTTTATGGACCATGATGGAAGCACACTTAATTTACCATAATGGTTTTAACTTGCTAAAAAAATTAATTACACAAAATTTAAAATTTTGCACAAAATTTAAAATCTTGCACAAAATTTAGATTTTTGACTCATCAAAATAAAAATAAATAAAACAAAAAAACTTTTGAAATGTTTTACTTTACATGTAATGAATCTAGAATATATGAAAGTTTCACTTTTTGAAATAAGTTACAAAAAAATACCTAAAGCCAAACATTCAACTATTTCTACATCTAATGATCTAATACTGCTCTACTGTGGAAACCAGGATTAAACTAAAACTACAAAAAAAATGTTGTTAATAAAACTAAATAAATAATAAGACAAAAACTGAAATAAAAAAAATATCAAAAACTATATATATATATATATATGCTAAAAAAAGAAATTACACAAAATTTAAAATTTTGCACAAAATTTAAAATCTTGCACAAAATTCAGATTTTTGACTCATCAAAATAAAAATAAATAAAACAAAAAAACTTTTGAAATGTTTTACTTTACATGTAATGAATCTAGAATATATGAAAGTTTCACTTTTTGAATGCCCGCGTAAAGCCCTGCCAGAGAAAAGACGCACACCATGAGAATGATAAAATAACTACAACTTTAGACAACACAAAACAACTTTTTAGATGTGTTCCATCATATTTAATAGTTTAACTTTCATTTTATGGACCATGATGGAAGCACACTTAATTTACCATAATGGTTTTAACTTGCTAAAAAAATTAATTACACAAAATTTAAAATTTTGCACAAAATTTAAAATCTTGCACAAAATTTAGATTTTTGACTCATCAAAATAAAAATAAATAAAACAAAAAAACTTTTGAAATGTTTTACTTTACATGTAATGAATCTAGAATATATGAAAGTTTCACTTTTTGAAATAAGTTACAAAAAAATACATTTTTCACGATATTCTAATTTTTTGAGATGCACCTGTGTGTGTCTATCTATGTATATATATATATACATCATTTTTTATTTTTACTTACTTTTTTTTTAAAGATGCTTTGATGAATAGAAGTTAAAGCAGTATTTATTTAACTAGATTTTTTTTTTACAATGTAAAAATCTGTCACTTTTGCTTAAACAAAAATGCATCCATGCTGAATACAAATATTAACTTTAAAAAAAAAAAAAAAAACTATAGTGTACTTTGTTGCTAATTGTCTCTTGCTCTTGCTAACTACGTTTAGGTGTTAGCATGTTTGCACCATTATCTGATCTGTATACTTCCTTCAGTGCTAAAATGACTCAAAGCACACAAATAAACCCAGTGTGTCTATGTTTGATATAAAAGCAACAATAAGCCATTTATTGACAGCATTTGTTTGTGTGTGACTGCGTACATGTGAGGAGTTATGGGTAATAAATCTTACCGATCATGAAGCCCATCAGCTTGTAGGGCAGGACGCAGGAGGAGATGAAGGCCACCCACAGAGCGATGTACAATTTTTGAGTGGTCTTCATTTTATGGACCATGATGGAAGCACACTTAATTTACCATAATGGTTTTAACTTGCTAAAAAAAGAAATTACACAAAATTTAAAATTTTGCACAAAATTTAAAATCTTGCACAAAATTCAGATTTTTGACTCATCAAAATAAAAATAAATAAAACAAAAAAACTTTTGAAATGTTTTACTTTACATGTAATGAATCTAGAATATATGAAAGTTTCACTTTTTGAAATAAGTTACAAATACATTTTTCACGATATTCTAATTTTTTGAGATGCACCTGTGTGTGTCTATGTATATATATATATACATCATTTTTTATTTTTACTTACTTTTTTTTTAAAGATGCTTTGATGAATAGAAGTTAAAGCAATATTTATTTAACTAGATTTGTTTTTTACAATGTAAAAATCTGTCACTTTTGCTTAAACAAAAATGCATCCATGCTGAATAAAAATATTAACTTTAAAAAAAAAACAAAAAAACTATAGTGTACTTTGTTGCTAATTGTCTCTTGCTCTTGCTAACTACGTTTAGGTGTTAGCATGTTTGCACCATTATCTGATCTGTATACTTCCTTCAGTGCTAAAATGACTCAAAGCACACAAATAAACCCAGTGTGTCTATGTTTGATATAAAAGCAACAATAAGCCATTTATTGACAGCATTTGTTTGTGTGTGACTGCGTACATGTGAGGAGTTATGGGTAATAAATCTTACCGATCATGAAGCCCATCAGCTTGTAGGGCAGGACGCAGGAGGAGATGAAGGCCACCCACAGAGCGATGTACAATTTCTGAGTGATCTCAGGCTGGACCCACATGAACAAACTGATGTATACACATACGCACACAAACATGGAGAAACATTCATTAGTTTACTTCAGGTTATGATTATATTTCAATGCTCCCACAAAACTTATTGCACCACCCTTGAGAAACTTTCTTTCCATCTCATATTATTTCCATCAGCAGTTTTGTGTTTGTTTGCAAAAATGGTACATTCGAGTTTGAAACTTAAAAGTTTTGTGAATGAACACAATGAATTTGTCCTCTCATCTCATACTTTTTCCATCACCATAAAATTTAAAAGAGCTACTTACTTTTTGATTTTCTCCAACACGTCTGCCATCTTACCAAAAAGATTCTGCAGAAACATTAATTTCACGTCGATCAAAAAGAACAATATGCAAAGTGTCCATAAAAACTCCAAATCACAACCGAGATTAAAAAAGGAACAGTTATTTATTATGGCTATTTTTCAGATTATACTATAAAAATAAAAGTCCTCAAAAACTATTAAATAATATGAACGGAAGAATGTGAATTAAGCAGTGACCAAAAAATATAAAACAACAACTCTTTAGATCACACAGCTCATGTAGTTTTTGCATTCTCTCAAATAACTTTATGAGGTGCATTCTGGGTTACTTTTTAATTAATATTAAAGGAATTTCCATGTGTGCTTAACAGTTGTTGGCTGCTTATCCTTCACTTTCAGGCCAAAAAAATTAATTAATTAAACTAAAATTTTAGTTTTGTAAAGAAATGCATACACAATAGCAAAAAGCTTTAGATGATGAAAAAGTTTTCAAAATCAGGAGAAACAGTAAAGTGTGTCCAAATTCTTGACAAATAGTGTGCATGCAATGGACAGGTTTTTGTTCAAATAAAAGTCTGAAAATCTATAAGCATTCAAGTGTAAATTTACCTGTGCTTTTTGTGCAACATCAAGAACTAACTGAAACTTTTCAGACACAGTTAGATCTTCCTTTGGAGGTTCCTGGAAGAAGGAAAAAATTAAATATGCACAACAGAAAAAAAGTCACTGACAAATTTTCCCCTGGAAAAACATTCCTACCACAGGTTCAGAAACTTCAGGCACAATACTCCACTGAATTCTCCATCCTCTAAAGAAAAACAGAACAGTATTAAATCAGTTTGTTTGTGCTACATATACAGTATGTTTCTATATATTACAAAATACATATGCATGTATGTTTATTCTGTGATAATATACAGGCATTGCATTAATACATGTACTGTATATGTACAGTGATAATGACTGTCTGAGTGGACATAGTAGTATATTCATATTTACGACTGGAAATTTCCGCTAATATACAACACCTTAACAAACTGAAATTTGTTCAATTTAGGCAACATTTTATATTTAACACAGTTTCAATAACATACTAGTAAGGAAGGAATCATTGTCTTACCTGGCTATGAGGTAGTTCAATGACAACCTCAGAATGGCTAAGAATAGAAACAAAGGTATAGCCCAGCCATGCCATGCTGCATTCATATAAATCTGTGACAGAAGACAAAAACACAACACATATTACACTGCTGTCGCAAGAAGGGGTATTATTGGGTACAAAAACTATCAAAAACATCTTTGTAAAGTGAAGCTGGAATAAATATTCAAAATATAAATATTAGATTAACTAAAATGAGAAATTTTGCCTTGGCAATAAATGAAAGCTATTTACTAATATTTTTATATTTTATATATATAT